ACAATGAGAAAAGTGTGGTTGAAATTAGGAAAGCAACTCCATTTATAATAGCCCCACAAAAAAACTACCTAGGAATTAACTTAACCAAACAAGTGAAGGACCTCTATGATGGAAACTTTAAAACCTGAAAAAGGAAATCAAAACAGAACTTAGAAAGTGGCAAAACTCCCATGCTCTTGGATTGGAAAGATCAACATCGTGAAAATGGCAATACTTCCCAAGGCTGTCTACAAATTCAATGCGATACCTCTCAATATTCCAACCTCATTCTTCAAGGAAATAGAGGAGAGAATCCAAAAATTCATATGGAACAATAAAAGACCCAGAATAGCAAAAACAATCCTCAACATAAAGAAGAGTGCTGGAGGAATATCAATACCAAATTTCAAACTCTACTACAAAGCCATAGTAATCAAAACAGCTTGGTACTGGCACAAGAACAGACCTCAGGACCAATGGAACAGAATTGAAAACCCAGAAATGAACCTACAGACCTATAGCCATCTAATCTTCGATAAGAGAGCTAAAAAATAGAATGGAAGAAAGACAGCCTTTTCAGTAAATGGTGCTGGCAAAATTGGTTAATCACTTGTAGAAAACTAAAATTAGATCCTTATATATCACCCTGCACCAGTATCAACTCCAAATGGATCAGAGACCTTGGAGTCAAAGCAGACACTCTGAAAACTTTACAGGATGGAATAGGAGAAACCCTAGGTCTCCTTAGCACAGACTGAAATTTTCTTAATAGAGACCCATAAACACAACAAAACAAAGAAAGATTGAACAAATGGGATTGCATGAAATTACCAGATATTTCTTATTTCACAAGTTTGACAATAAGTAAGCGGATCTATATCAGGTTGAAAAACTGAATTCTATTAAGTTTGATATGGAGTGCTGCTGCCTGTAATCCAGAACTCAGGAGGCTGAAGCAGGAGAATCATGAGTTTGTAGCTTACCTTGGCTACATGTTGAACTCAGGGAGAATGTGGGCCACATAAGGAAACCTGGTCTTACAGAGAAAATGCAGGCTCAGTCATGTTGCTATTAGATATCATGACAATGTCCAATTGCAACAAAAGTTTCATACTTCTACTTGTTTCTTCATAGACCAACAGTGATTTACACATCATACTTTAAGTAGCTCAACTTTATAAAAAATGTCTTCATTCAACTATGTTTAGTCAAGGTGGTGTGTACACTGAAGCCTTATAAGTTAATATTTAAATTAAAATATTTACAAATTCAGAATTCTGAAAACATGTTTTTCTCTAACTTTCTATTTAATTGTATGTGTGTGTGTTTGTGTTTGTGTGTGTGTGTGTGTGTGTGTGTGTGTGTGTTTGGGAAATAATTTAGCCAAGTTTTAAGTTAATATGTCTAATGATATATTTGACTTGTCACATTAAGATAACTATACCCAGGGTTGACAGACATTCTGTTAGCCCTAGGAAGTATTTAAATACTTCATGGCATAAAATTATTTCTTTGTTTCTTTTTGTCTTCAATATTTAACTTAGTTAAGTTAGCAGAATAGATTTTATAGTGTATCATATGGTTTGGATATAATCAAGGTAACAAACCTGTTTTAACAACATATATGAGATTTTCTCCTCCCACCCTATCTTGAGTTTAAAAAGATACTGTTATTAAAATTCTATTACAAAATTTATAAACATTGAGATAAATATGATCAAACATATCATATATATATGAAGCCATCATCATGAAATAGATTTTAGTATAGTTAAAAATAGGTAATATTTTAAATCTAATGGTGCCAGATAGGTGTGCATGAAGACTGAATAAATTCATATCTGTTTCTGTGGATCTCTGTTTCTGAGTGCACACATGAGTTGTTAATAAAAATGTGCATAGCTGTAAGGTATAAGACAAATTCTGTTCTCCTTTAGCAGTATGATAAGGCAAGTCTCTGATAACTTAAACTACCCTTCTGGTAATTTAAAAGCCAATTTCTCTCTTGATGATGTCTCATCATATCCTGAAAGAAGAAAATTATACACTTTTTAGACTTACCACTGACTAAGCAGCTACATTTGGAAGGATGTTTTGGTTTCATAATGAAATTATGTTAATAACTGAAATTATTACCCGCTGAGTTACTGTCACTATTGTGTTCTAAAACAGGCAAAACTTCCTAGAATGAGAAACAATGTTTTAACTGATATATTTATTAAGGAAAATTTCCATAAATGTTACCAATTTTCATGTGGAGTAGTGATTTTTTCATGTAAAAGTAGTCATATTTTTCCTGCCTCCCTTCCCTGCTTCCATTTATCCTTCATGTATGCTGTTGAGGTGGGCTAATTTTTTTTACTTAATAATGTTTTCTTAATTTATTCTGAAATGAATTCTAGAGTTTATGTGAAAGTAGATATATGACTTTACAAGACTGAAATAGAAATTGTACATGATTGTGAGTTTACAAAAATAATTCAGTTAATATCCGTAGTATCTTCTGTTATGTTTAATAAGTTGTATCTTAGGATTTATACTCATACAGTCGATGACATTCTTAAATCTTTATCAACTCTATTATAATCTATTTGAGGAATACAGTGACAACAAAATTCATCTTCTTTATTAGTAAAAAGAAAAAATATCATAAGTAAATATTTCAAAAGACAGATGATACCTACAGTAATACTTTTCCACATGTCAGTTTGATAAAAGTCTACTGATAGCAGGTGTTTCCACCATCTTTCACAGAAAGTCTGTGAAAGGAAACTGCACCACTGAAGATAGTGTTGACTGATCAATTTTGTAACTCCTTCAATTCTGATTCAATTATCAATCAAGATGATTGAAATTATTCACTTACCAACTATTGTTATACAGATAGTGGTAGTAACTGCAAACTTTATAGTATCTATTGAAAAGTCACACTTCCTTTAAGCGATTTAAAAGATAATAGTTGATTTTCTGTTTGAAGAGATTTAGAATATTATCAGGCTGTGACTTTCAAAATTGTTATATTTCTATTGATTAAGATTGGTTTCCACATAAAAATCATTACAAATGATATATGGTTCCAATTCCAAAGGCCAAAATTTTGCCTTTGGGTAATGTTTACTTTGTAATGAAATTCTATATTTTCTGTCTATGCCATTGAATATAAACACAAATATTTTTGTAAATAACTAAAGAACAATTCCATGAATCATATTTAAGTAATTTTCTCAACCACAGGGATTATATTCACCATTTATATTTATATTTGATAATAAGTCTGAAGATTTTATAAGGTCTATTGTCTAGTATTCAGCCAATCTGTATAAATTAATACAATTCTCTAAAGAAAACCTTAGATTTTCCAAGAGTCTGATATCTCTGGCCCTTGCCTAATGCTTTTCCAATGGTTAATTTTTATATGGAAATACTTGTGTTTAGTGCACAACTAGTCATCCTTCCTCCCAGATGAGATCATTTCTCAAGGGTCTGAGATAACAGCTGTTGCATCCCCTTCTAGACAGCTCCTTAGGCAGATGTAATGTTCTTTGTAGATTATCAAAACTAAATAAATAAATAAAATAAGTGAAAGCAATTATTAAATTTAAATCACACAAATGATATGCTGCATTTTTGCTATTTTGTCATGCATAATTTATTGTTTAGTGCTCAAAACACAAAAAGCCATTTGCAGATTAAGATTATAGAAAAGTTGGCAGAGTTCAGTGGCAGAGTGCTTGTCTAGCATGCAAGAAGCCCTCCATTTTATCCCTTGCACTGCCAAACAAATAAATAATTACAGAGGTATAAAATTAAAATGTAATTTCATGCAGTCTTTTAAAACCCTCATCCAGGTACTAGATAGTGCTAGAAATTTTACAATCATCCTCAAGGCACTATAATTTGGATAAGAAGTTGGATTTGATTTTAGACTTGAAAGATGAGTGATTGTCTACTTCCAGTCAGTCCCCACACTAGCTCTAGATAACATGTTTGTTTTTAAGCTCTCTTGTTTCAATGCACTCACCTAGAAAACATTACTAATTCATAGGGTCATTTATATGTTTATATTGATATATTTGTTATTACAAAGCACACTGCAAGTTACCCAGTGTGCAAGCAAAATTATGATTCTCATGATAATCTAAGCTTCTAACTATGAGCTTTGCTTTTGTTCATTCATGCAGTCCAGTTTGTTATTGCCCCAAATACTATATGTTCGAGTTACCATTCCTAATTGTATTTTATAATTGTCAAGGGTAATTCTAGTACATATATGGGTATGTTTGTGTTGTTTTGCCTCAATGTTTTATATATAAATGCATAGTATATATGACTTCACTGCCCAAAGTAAGTCTAAACACCTTCTTAGGTATTGAATAGGATTAAGTTTAAGCAGTTATATGAATCTTCCTACTTTATACTCCAAATGAGTTGATTTTTCTATATCTTGCTCTTGTTAAATATTTTCCTCAATGCTAAGTTTATTCTACTTTGAAGATGAACTTTTTAAAGTGGAGATAATGATATTTGCCTGTTATGGTTTGTTTGCGAATTGGAATGCATGATAAAACCAATTAAATTAACTAACACTAAGTTAAATGACTAACAATTAAATTAGTAGAATCTGACAAGCAGTATGCCTACACCATCTTTAGTCTTGTTATTTCAGTATTATAAAGAAATGACTTGATGCTGTATAGGAGTTAGTCTATCATAAATGTTCTATCACTAGATCCTTGAGTGTTTTTGCCAGATGTGGTTGCCAAATATGATTATGTGCTGTGAACTACAGAATTAATCTGAATTAGAAAGGTCACTGATCATATAAAATTTATATACTTGTCCGGGAAATATACCACTCTGCAGGATGTTTCTTAATAATGTATTATACTAAGTGTGTATTCTTTTTAATTAGATGTTTTTATATTGCTTCAATCTGTTACTAATTATTAATCTATTAACTAGGTTGTCATTGTTTCTACTTTGAGCTGGATCATCCTAAACTCTGTGTTTCTCTTTGGCAGCTCTTTCAAGCATCTGATTGGAGGGCTGGATGATGTTTCTAATAAAGCTTATGAGGATGCAGAAGCTAAAGCAAAGTAAGTGATACTACTTTCTAAGGCCTTTACTTTGATAAAGATGCTGAATAGGGCTGAGAAGGTGGCTCAGTGGTAGAGTGCATGCCTTGCATGCATGAGGCCCTGGGTTCGATTCCTCAGCACCACATAAGCAAAGAGAAAAAGCCGGAAGTGGTGCTGTGGCTCAAGTGGTAGAGCGCTAGCCTTGAGCTGAAGAGCTGAGGGACAGCACCCAGGCCCAGAGTTCAGGCCCCATGACAGGACCAAAAAAAAAAAAAAAGATGCTGAATAGAGATAAGATCAAAGGCTTTCATCAACTTAACTTAGTCAAATACTCCAATACAAGAAGAATCTACTTTCTTAAAAAGAAACACACTTTTAAATAAAATTATTGACCAATGTTTACTTGGTAAGTATATCTCTCTTTAAACATGAAATCTTAATTTTTATGAGAAAACCAACCCCAAAAGGAAAATAGCTACAAAAATATAGACAACTGAAAGCTTGTCCTACTGAAAATAATTTTGGAACAAATAGACAGTAGGTTGAACAGAGGTTTATGGAATTGCATGAAAGATAATATGGCTAGAACTGTGTACCTAGAAAAAAATTCACTATATTGAGCTTTGATGCTAGTAATATGAGAAAAATATCTGCTACTACATATTCTATTCATTATAATTTTGCATTATAATACAGCTCTTCTATAAAGGCAATTTGCTTTAAGCTTAGAACTTGACTAGTTTCTTGAACAACAACAAAAAAAACTTGAATTTGAGAGTCGCTATTTCTGGAAAAGGTTTAGAATAAAATCAATATCCCTAAACCTTCTCCTCTTGTTCCAAGTACCTGTTGGTATTTCATGTGACATGGGTAATTGGAGGGATTAGTTTTATATAATTTCATGTTAAAAATAGAGTAGGGCCAGTGTTTGATTTGTTGACCTTGTAGAAACATAAAAATCACAATAATCAGTTTTGAATGAGGTTTCAATCTGTGGAAACAGTGGATCTAGAACTAAAATATTACATATTATAACACAGGTTAATATTATTACTCACATTCACCCATTACATGCATGTATTTTTGTTTTCCTCTCCACATACATTGTTTTAATTTTCTCTGAACTTTGGAGCAACATAGTCTTCAACTCTGAGGATGGATGTCAGCAATGTAGGAAACTGAACTTGCCAGTTTTAATAGCCCCTTTTACAAAGGCTTTGGGTTACGATGAAGTAATTTTATGCAGCACATTAATTATGCATGTTAATGCTCAGCTTGGACATGAGTCTCATACATTAGTACTATTTCCACTGAGCTGACAGAGGGCCCATTTAAGATATCTTGTCTATTTTAAAAGTTATAAAGACATCTTTGGATTTTATCCCTAAAGGATTATTTGCTTGCCATATTAAAAAAGATTTTCTGTTTATTACCATAATTTATCTGTTTATTTTTCTTTTTATTGGACATATACATAAGTATATATAGATGCACATACATAGTATATAGATGTACAGATATAGATATACACATAATAACTGGTGCATTGTTTTAAAAACTCATCTAAATCTACTTGCGGAATTAAAAATTGCTAAAGATCTTTTTGTAATGATGTGATCCTGATGCTTTGGTGTACTTGTTTCCCTGTTAAACTTTAAAAGATTCTCTGATAAGGTTTGCATAACTTACATTTACTCGATGGAAAGTTGATATCAGAACAGCTTAAAATCAATACTTTCTGAGAAAGTGATTGTGAATCAGTCTTATCCTTCTCAGAATCTATTGATGCTATGCAATGTCAGCGTGCATGTCTCCTACACTCTGGCCGCTAGTGGGCTTATTGATACATGATACAAGGAGAGGTAGTAAGAAATCCTGCTACACTGCAATAGATTCAGATGATTAGAAGAAAGCTACGTTAGTTATTCATTTCAGAGAGAGAATCATTAGCATAATGGCAGAAGCCACAAGTCTTGCATGGTATTCCTGTACTCTGTCATTCCTAGACAAAAGATCTTAGTCATCACTGATAATACCTGTCTTTCAGTCTCAGTTACCACATCTTTGAAATGGTATGTTTTCATTGTTTTAATAGATAGTAGTTTGTACAAACTTTATAAATTATACAGGTTTATGGGACTGTATGATATTCTTGGTAGAATTAACCATTAGAGATAATCTTTAATACACTTGATACATGGAAGGAATGACACCTACTGATTATGCCATGCATATTATGTAAAACTGATTTTTCTATGAAAGAAGTTTTTAATGTTATGTAAGCAAAATTCTATTTCTCTTATATCACTTAACCTAGAAAATATTTGTAAATATATACTTATCAAAATGGCAACTTTTAACTGAGAGTGAATTATATAGTGATTAAGCAACAGCAGGGTAATAAAATTATTACCTACACTAAGGTACTTCTCAGTGCTTTTATTCGACTTATAGATTTGATAGGTGATAAATAAGAAATTGTGTACTGTACAGAATTAAAGTGTGCAACAGTATTTGATATATGCACTAACTATTCAAATGATCACTGCACTATAGGTAATTAACACATTCATCTCTTACAAAGGTATAGGGTATATGTATGTGTGTATGCATATGTGTGTGTGAAAGAGAAAGTGTGTGTGTGTGTGTGTGTGTGTGTGTGTGTGTGTGTGTGTGTGTGTGTGTGAATGGATTACATAATGATTGAATCAATTGCTGGTTAGATTAATGGCTCATTAGATGGAACCCTAAGTTAGACTGGCCGACAATCAATCTCCAGAACCAGATCCACCACTGATAGGGTTATCAGTTGATCAGATCTGTTGCTGATTATGTCAGCAAGTTGTTAGGTCAAATTTTAAATAGTTTAGCCACTGACTGGATCAAATACTGGATCAGATCAAATACTGATCAGATTACCTAATGAATGGATTCAACACCACTCTTGATTAGACCAACCAGTGACAGATGTACACTGTTTTAGAAAATTTCATTCAGAAAAAACTTGTTCCAAACTTTTTATTCAGTTCATGTTAAAACTCAATGTTGATGGGCATTTGGAAAATGGAAATCACATGATGAAACTATCTAAATTCTTGGATCCAATTCTAGAGAAATTGGTAAAAAGAACTGTATTCCTAAAAATAGCCTCTTAAAAATAAATATTGGAGGCATTATTGTTATATCTCTTATAGTGTTGGTACTTTATAAACTCAATAAATAAGGTCAAAAGATTTCCTAAATGGAATCATCTTTTAATAACACATCTTGTCACTCAGAAAAAGGCAAAGTACCAGTTATTCCCCAGGGAGACTGTTTTAGATGCATTAATAATTTTAAACATCTCTTTGTATTAATATTGCTGTTGGTCACTATTGAATTTCTTCTCATTAACTACATTGCCACTTGACTTTGTGTAAAGAATTTAGAAAACTTTCCTAAATGTAGAACTTAGGAACACACTCTTCTAATTGGTTAGATTAATGGCTCATTAGATGGAACCCCAAGTTAGATTGGCCAATGATCAGTAGACTCCGTGACCAGATCCACCACTGATATGGTTATCAGTTAAGCAGATTTGTTGTTTATTATGTCTGCAAGTTATTAGGTCAAATTTCAAATAGTATAGTCTCAGACTGGATCAAATACTGAACAGATCAAATACTTATCAGATTACCTAATGAATGGATTTGACATCACCCCTGATTAGTCCAACCAGTGATAAATATATATTGTTATAGCAAATTTCATTCAGATAAAATTTGTTCCAAAGTTTGTTTAGTTCATGCTAAAACTGGGTAATTCTGTAATGCCTCTAAATCATGTAGATCACAAATTCTGTACCATTAGTACAGAAGTGATTTGGCTCCATTGAGCCAGCTTTAGCTTTTCAAGGTCTCCTTAAGTTTGCAACAATTATGGAAGATAAAACTAGTATTTCTAAAATCTCCATTAAAATGATCATGTTATTTCTCCATTTGAAACCACTATTAGTACTAAACAATAGACTGTTACTACTTGGGTGAGAAAAGAAAAAAAAAGTAGGATGATGTATTTGTATTTTGGAACATAAAGACTGATTTTATTGAGACATTTAAAAACTCAACCACAGTAGGAGTGATAGGGCATGCCTGTAATCTCAGCACCTGGGAGTTGAGGTAGCATAATCTTAGCCAGTCTGTCATATAGTTAGTCCCATGCAAACCTGAACTATATAGCAAGACTTTGTCTCACAAAAAAAAAAAATCAATCAAACCAAAAAAAAAAAACTTAGACATGGAAAACTCATTAGCTATTAAAGTTAGACCATCAGTGGGTTTGCTGCTAAATACTACATTCATCAGTGATAACAATACATCTTTTTCCAAATAAAAATGTTTAATATATATAGGATTAATATATACTTTACAAATATATAAATATGTATAGCTCAACTTACTTGTTAATTTTGATGCTTTGTCATGAACATCTCCAATATAAAGTTTGCCCTCTGCCTAACTATATTCCAAGATTAAAGTCATTCAACGCATGAAAAAAATAATTATTTATTTATGATGATTATTTTTACTTTCATTATTAATAGAGATAATATGGCAGGATAAAAGGAACAAAAAGAAAAACAATGCAACACAACTGCTATTAATGATCTGTGTGTTTTTTAAAAATATTTTTTATTGTAAAGATACTGTACACAGGGGCTGCAGTTACAGGAGGAAGGTAATGAGTACATTTCTTATAGAGCACTGTTACCCCCTCTTTTGTTTTTCCCCTATTTTTTTAATTGGTTGTGGGGCTTGAATGCTGGGCCTGGATGCTGTCCCTGTGCTCTTCAGCTCAAGGCAAGCACTCTATCACTTGAGCCACAATGCCACTTCCAGTTTTCTGGTGATTAATTGGAGATCAGAGTCCTGCCCCTGGTTGGTTTTGAACCACAATCCTCAGATCTTGGCCTCCTGAGTAGTGAGGACTACAGGTGTGAGACACCAGTACTGGGCTTGATCTGTTTTATAATTGTACTT